TTTTTTTTTTTTCCCTTCCCCTCCCCTACGGGTTTCTGTTAAGTTTCTCAGGATCCACATAACAGTGAAAATATATGCATACCAGGCAACTTTCTAAGCAATTTATAAATAATTCATTTAATCCTCATAACAACCTTTGTCATTTCCGATTTAAATATTAAAAATAACTTGAAGCTCAGAGAGGTTAGAAAACTTGCCCAAAGTCATATAGCAAGTAAGCTGCAGAGCGGCTTCCACCTTGTTAGTCTGGTTCCAGAGTCCATGATGCAACCAAGAACCTATGTCTCTTTATTGAACATATCCCCCATTTACAAGGAACCTTACACTGTCTCCAACATCTTTGACATTACTCTGCATTGCTATTGAACTTTGTTACTGATACGTAACGATGATGATAATGATAATACAAATAACAGCTCACAGGTTTTTGGAATCCATTGTGTTGCTTATGCATCAACTCATCTACTCCTCGCAATAACCCTAGTAAGTGGGTGATATTAATCCCATTTAAAACATGAGGAAACAGAAGCATGAGGAGGCGGAAAAACTGCCCAAAGACATTCAGCTAACAAGCGACAAAACTCAGATTTGAGCCCTGGCACTCTAGCTCCAGGGCCTGGGCTCTTGAAATGTCACAGCATGCTGTATTTGCATTTTGCTTTCAAAACAGATCATAAGCCACAAAGTTTTTGTGTACCTTTATGGTGTCAAAAACAGAAAACTCATTCAACAAACATTACTGTTAACTTGATTCTTTGGTCATTTTCTTATTAACCTATGGAATAAAAAAGGATTCTCATGGAATAAAAACAAAAAATTATCCTGGACTTTTAAAATGCTAGGCAATCACCAAATGCTTTCTTGTTAGATCCTGTAAAGCTTCACTCCATTCAAATTCATCACAAGAACAGGAACCAGGAAAATAGGAAAAAAATGCAAATGAATACAGAAATGATATCCTGCTCCTTCAGTGAAGTCTGGTGACTGTTCCTGCTACAATGAATGGCAAATGTGGAGCATCTTACTGTATATAGTTTTAACTATAGTAAATTTACTGCGTAGGTCCTACTATTCTTATCTTATAAAAACGTAACTTAATAGAAATCCACCCTTTCTAGTCGCTTCGTAAAAGCAGTAAGAGGAACCACCTTAAAATGCTTCTCCCTCTGCTCAAAAACCTCCTTAAAGAAAGGAGTGATTGGGATGCCTGGGTGGCTCAGTCAGTTAAGCATCTGACTCTTAACTCAGCTCAGGTCATGATCTCACCATTTGTGAGATCGAGCCCCATGTCGGGCTCTGTGCTGATGGCATGGAGCCTGCTTGGGATTTTCTCTCTCTCCCTCTCTCTCTGCTCCTCCCCTGCTTGCCACACACACACATGCATGAGCTCTTTCTCTCTCAAACAAACTTAGAAAAAGAAAAGGAGTGATCAGAAACTTTTTAATATTCAAATGATGAGAAATAGTTCATCATATATACACACCATACTTGACTATGCAAATATATATCACTAATTAAATTTATAAGATACATCTTGATTTGACCAACATTTTATTAGTTTTAATGATAAATCACTATAATAAATGCCAAACATACAAAAAGAACCAATATTTAAACCAACAAAAAACTTACCATTTGACATATCGGAGGTTTTAATTTTGTCTGTCTTTATTGAAATTGTTTTAGGAAGAAAAGCATCAAAATGATCTACAAAGTGTTCCCTTGTGAGTACTAACAGATTTTTGAGTTCATCAACAGAAACTACTTCAGGCTGCTTTGCCAACTTTCTCCTTTCTGTAAGACAACAAAACAATATAATTAACCATATGCCTATTATTTTAAAGCCTCTCTAGAAGTACATCCACTACTCTTTCATGGGAAATGTTTTCAAAAGTAAAACAGTTGAATTTCTCCAGCAAATCAACAGGCCTATTTTCCTTTTAATCCCATTTGTAGGTAATGACAGAATTTCCAGTTATGTGAGATAAACAAAACTAGAATAATCTGTTAATGCCAACAAGTGATAAATGGTAAATATATAGTTTACAAGTTTTCAGAATATATTGCAGACCATTAAGGACGTTGGTGTTTATGTGAAAATAAGACCTGTAAGACTCTCAGTTACATGTGGTCACTTGACCAATTCCATCTATTTCTTCTCCTTCCTAAAACCTAAATCTACAACAAAGGAATAAAAAAAGGTCAACAAAAGCAGAAACAATTAATAATGACAGTTTTTGACTTTTTAGAAGAAGAGACGATGGTGGAACAGTAACTGAGTTGGTACCGGACAGGAAGGGTCCACTGGGTGCCTACAAAAGCACTACTATGTGGTATTAGAAGACGATGGTGAGATCCAGGTTAAACTAGGACTGGACGCATGGATGTTTAGAAAAGGAGGAGACAACAAAATAAAGGTCTTCACCCCACCCTCCGCCCCTCACAGCCAGGAGGCTGTTCTCATTTTGGGGGGAGGAAGCTGAAAAAGAGTCCCAGCCTACTGGTGTCATCAGGCACACCGAAAGGTAGCACTGAAGCTGGGGCTAAAACTGGGGGATTAAATAGAGGTCTATATACTGAAAGGTCCAACTCCAAGTGCTGTAGCCAGAAAGCTAGGAGGTATAAATGCTTCCCAAGAAAGATGAAAGGATTCCGCTTTTGAAAAACTGAATGCCCCCAGAGAAAAGAGCTTGGTCCTGATATTGAGGCAGAGGTAGGGACAGGAGCTCACAAGCAAAATGTTGACTTGTCACTCCACCACTTTACAAGTACAGCTTGCCAGACAGTATATTAGACTAAAGTCCACAAAGCTTCCCATTTAAAACAGGACAGACAGAAATGAGTAACTAGACATTTAAGAAAAGGTGTTGAGGAGAGCAGGGACTCTGCATTTCCACGGTCTTATGTTTACACATGTAAGACTTTAATTCAGTAACACCTGTAGCTTCCTTCTCCCAGCTGTCACTCTTTGAGCTAGTCTGGAGAAGAAACAAGGCATTTGTTGATCAGATCCTTCTCCCCAACCTTCCTCTGAGCTGGCAGGTTCTCAGAATTTATGCTCTCTGCAATGTGATAAGGGCCCTGCCCCAACAGGGCCTAGCTTTTCAGTTGCCTAGCTCTTCATTCAAGAGGGGGAAATTCAATTCTGGGTTATGTATCAGAAAACTCACCTGGCCATAGATCTAAAAAGTCATATCCTTCAATCAAGCTTTTACCTGTTATTTATTTCCATCTGTGTGTTTTTACGTTTATTTCTCAACTGGGTGGGTAAGGAGGTTTATTTATTGCAACCCTCAAAATAGGAAAAAATCTAAGATGAAAAGAAAGACTAACGCAAGCAAAGAGGAAAAAAGAGCCCAGCAGGAAAAAACAAACAAACAAAAAACAAAAAACAAAAAAACATTGCAGAGAACAAAAGAAAGCTTGCTGTCATTAATATTCTCATAGAAATAATCAATGCTTTGATAAAGAACAATTGATGAACAAGAAAAAGACTTTTTAAAATTAAGTACATGAGAACTCAAATTTTAAACATACTATAAAAGGGCTTAAAATAAAATGCCAGATATTGTCCAGAAACTAGAACAAAAAACAATATGGAAATAGGAAAGAAAATTGGGTATTCTGTCCAGAAAAACCAATATAAAATTAATAAAAGTTCTAGAAAGAGAAAAAAAGAGAAAGGAAAAGAAATTCTTAAAGAGATAAAAATTTTCAGATGTAAGAATGTGAATCTTATATTGAAATGGCTCATTGAATGGACAACTTAAAAAAATGGGGGCAGAGGGAGAGAACAGCAAATACATACACACTATGATTCAGAATAAAGCTTCTGGAGATAAAGATTCCAGAACAGAGGAAAATCAAATAAACCAAAAATAAAGCACTACAAAGGATAAAAGTAGGCATTAGATTTCTCAGTAGGAACACGACCATGTAGAAGACAATAAAGTAACATCTTCAAAATTCCGAAGGTAGACAGTTTTCAACCTAGAAGTATTTATGACTTGTCAATCAAGTAAAGATATTTTCAGGTAAGCAAGAACTCAAAAAAAATTATGACCCATGAACTTTTATTCAAGTAGTTACTAAAAGATAGTCACCAACCAAACAAGGGAGTAATCCAAGAAGGAAGACAAGGGGTCTGGATAAAAGGAGACTCCAAAAGAAGAAAAGAAGAAAAGAGAAGTCTCTAAGAAGTCAAGAGGTCTAAGAAGCAACCTGAACACAACAGAGAAAAATAGTAAACACTCTGGAAAAAAAAATGAAGAGAAATAAAAAGGAACTGTGTTTGAACATATAATGAACTTATTAAGTAGGTAGAAAAATGTTGGAGCCTCTGGAAAAGTAACAATATTTTGCCTGTACAAAAGAATGGGCAAATAAAAATTATCATCCACATCATAAGAAAAACAAAGATTATACAAGAGAGGTAATTATCATCATATATTGCAAGACTCAGTGGTAAACTTATTTATATAGTGATAATAATGTTAAAACTAAACACTGACCAAAATTCATGACTTCACTGTAAAGGGTGGAAAGAGAAAGCGAAGGTGATATGAGAAAGCTAAGTCTTTATCTTCTGTGTTAGATGCCAAGATAATGTCTGAAACTGGCAAATCAAAAAATAGCATACACACATTACTTAAAAAACTAGAGGAAATGTTAGGAAAACCAGTTGGCAGAGTTGAGGGTAGCTGTCTACAAAGACTGAAAGATGGGGAGGAAAAGGGAGAGTATTGATGGTTTCTACATGAAGTTTTCAATACCATTTGCATTTTAAATGATACCCATGTATTACTTTTGTCAAAACATTACATTTTTTTAAGGTTTATTTCTTTTGAGAGAGAGAGGGTGAGTGGGGAAAGGGCACAGAAAGAGGGAGAGAGAGAATCTCAAGCAGACTCCGTGCTATCAATTCAGAGCCCAATGAAGGGCTCGGTCTCCTGAACCATGAGATCACAACCTGAGCCAAAATAAGAGTTGGACACTTAACTGACTGAGCCACCCAGGCGCACCCAAAATATTACATTTTTAAAACACTTCTGAACTAATAGCATTTTCTTCTATAATAGTAAATTGTAAATTCATAGAATTCAACTCAACATTTATGGAGTTTATTGTCTACAAAGCACTGTGCTGTGCTCTTGGACACAGAGGATTAAAGTCCAGAACATTATCACATGAGGTCGACACATAAATAATGTAAGAGAGTAGGCTGAGAAGAAAGTAGCCGGTCTAGAGATTCTACTTGAGAACATCAGCTTTACAACAATGTCTCTGCAAACTCCCACCCTACCAACGTGGATATTGCTAGGATCATTCCAGTTGTGATCCAAGGTGGTTCCTGCACTCAAGAACATTAGTAATGGTAAAGTAAGATTATAAAATATGCTGCTGTTATTACAACTTCTTAGTGAGAAATAAAAAGCTTCATTTCTTTTTATTTTTTGCACAATCTGCTGGGAGTCATTCTAAAATTAAAAGTTATCAGTGGTTTGTTTGCACATGAAAGATGCACAATAGGTAATATGCTTCAGAATTTAGCTGTACATTTTTATTGACATTAAAAATAAACTTAAATCATGAACCTGACCCATTCTTATTAAAACAGTCAATTACGTTACAACATTGGGCTATCTTGAGAGCAGGGCAGAATTCCTTCTGGCCTTGAGGACTGAGAAATAGAAAGAGGGAACAGATGAAATTTAACAGGATTATGAGCAGCATAATTTACCTATACAAAAAACCTCTGCATAAATGAGTTTGCACACAAGTGTCAAAAGTTTAGGGAGAAAAACATTGGACTGAAGCCTAAAAGTGAATCAGCAAAAGAATGCTATTCATAAAAAAAGATAGCAATAACTTAGTATTTACTAAAGAAAAAATATAGACCAGAATATTCAAAAGTACCAGAGACTGAGTGTTAATCAGGTTTCTACTAGGTTCTATAAATTTAAAAAAGAAGTGGGAAACTCAAAGTAATGGCTGCAGTACTGGAGCAAAATGACAAGACTGTTGCTGTTTTGGCATTTGTATCATACTGAACAATCTTATTCAAAAATTGTCCAGCATTCCTAAATTGCTTCTTTAAAAATCAGTGAAATAAGATATTTAATACTTCCCAATGCAAGAAGCTATAAGTTACAAAAAATCAAGTAAACATGAATTATAAAATTGTAAGTATTCTAATAGTATTAAGTATAATTTTAAAAATAAATAAAATTACTGAAGTAATTATTAAAAAACTAAACAAAAACAGAAATTTTATTTGACTTTTGTGTTATTGTAAAAAACAAAGTGTCTCAATTAATGCATGTGTATTTTTATGTAAACTCTTCCAGTTACTCTCTCTGATTCAGTACTAATCAGAGAACCACTGGGGATATTATAAGTCTACTCTATGACTTGTTGATAATTTTGAAAAAATCTTCCAGAACAACTTTTTGTTTTTCAGCAAAGGCTATAATCTTTGTATTGATACTGAATTGTTGATTTTTTCCCAAAGAAAGCTGCTCCTATTACATTAGTTTTCACCATGTAAATTAATTAACTATACTACTTTTGATACTTTTATATGTATATTTCACTTCTTTGAAAGTCACTGAAATACACTCAGACATTTTACATTAGAAACTTTGTTTTGCTGTCATTTTTTTGTCTTTAGAGATACAGGAGTTCTGAAAAGATGCAACTTTACCCCAAATTTTTAATCCAGTATTGACTCTGGGTACAGGAGAGATTGGTTCAGCAAGTATTTCCACCATAAATTAACTGGATCATTAATATTC